ATCTGCTAGTTTTCCTATATATTTGTCTTGAAATTTTTATCCTTATTTCCAATCGGATTTATTAATTATTTTTCTATTATTTTTTAAATATTTAGATTTAATAACCTATATTTAGCCTTATTTTATAATTGACCTACATTCTATATTCAAACACAACTAGTTAATTTATTCTCGACAACTTTGAAGAATTTATAATCACTGTAACTACAACCTTACCTACATTTGACACAATTTTTCTGTGTTGCAATTTCAGTAGAAATATTTTTTTAGATTTATATAAGAGTCAATACACTTTCTCATTTCCGACTGAATATTCTTCTGACACAGGTAATATCATATTATTTTATTTACAATAATTAGCGTTTATGATATAATAATTAATACACAAAATGGTTGTAAATTCCTAACGCTTTATCGCTTTCTAAAATTAAAGTATATCTTGATCATATATTTATTTAAGTATAAATTAAGCTGGGTTCTGATATAATTAAAATCCTTGAAGTTCAGATTTAACACGCGTTAATTCACTTTGGTATTTTGAAAAGGAAAACTTCTAAACTGTTTCTAACAGCAGCTGAAAATCTAAAAGTAATTATTAGGAACGATTTTAATGACGTCACCTTGAAAGATCTGCAGAAGAAAATGAAAAATATTCAATTTTTGTGAAGAATGGAAGGAAATATATAGATAACTCCTAACTACAATGTACGGCACTTTGCTAAATTATTAGACCCATGCAAAAAATTGATAATTTCTTAGTTTTTGATGCAATAAATCAATAATAATAATAATACAATTGTTGATAGAATTATTTAAAATATCTATATTTATTATGTTTTTTGAAATAAAAAGTAAGTTTTTGCATATAAAATTTAAAAAATGAAAAATGAAAATTAATATTTTGTATGACCACCTTTTACAGCTTTATATAACAAGGATTTTTATACGTTTTTCTTTAAATTTTTGTTCTTATCAATGGGATATGGTGCCATACCTTAATAAGAACCTCTATCAGTTTTCTTTTTGTATTAGAAAGTTGATTTTTCTTACATTTACAATGATGCCATGTAAAATATTTATTAGAAGTGTTTGTGAAACATTAGAGAAATATAATAACATAAAAAATACTAATTCCTTAAACAATATTACGAAGAAAAAAGAAGAAAATTATACAAAAAGCATTATGTTAGTCAATGGTGTAATAAATTGGCAAGGTACAGTACTTTGTGATTATTCTATACCAGGGGTTCCCAACCTTTTCCCTTTTAAGAAATTTTAATTTTTCATCGAACCCTTTCAATATTATATATTATATATTATACAATATTATATAACTTATATTATATAGGCCTATATATATTATTATTATATATGCAACAGTCTCTTACATAATTTATAAAAGACATCTTCCTACATTATTTGAGAGAAAAAACTGTAAAATTTTTAATATTTTTAAATAAATTTTTTATATTTTCAAAGTTTTATCGACCCCCTGAAACTTTCATTGACTACTAAGGGGTCAATACCAATCCCGTTGGGAAATCCTGTTCTGTTCTTTACCAAAAGTTTAAAACTTTTGGTAAAGACAGAACAGGGTTTTTAAAAATCATTAATGAATTAATTACCCATTGTGGGTTCGAGTAGGTCCACAATGGGCGGGGCCAAGTTGTTAAGGATGGACCCTATATGCCAAGGACGAATCCCTAAAATATTCCTGGGTTTTCTCGCCAGGTGCAGTAAAATGACGCCTTTAATTTTGGTTATTGGCTACCATAAAAGATACACATATTTCAAATAAAACCCCATACATATTATCTCGTTAACTACTAAATATATCGGAATTCAAATCATTTAGTCTGTTACATAATTTGAATTTTTATACAAAATGAGATCGAATTACTTGTTATTTAAATTCTTTCTAAGTTTAAAAAGTAGGTAAACGAGTTTTTTTTTGTCAATAAGACAGTTATTTCACGTTAGCTTTTAATCTAAAATTCACGCATCTAAAACAGCCATTTTGGTTCCATAAAGTCTACTTCCTTATATGTTTTATTTCCTGTTAATTGCATGCATAAGGGGCTGATTTTACGATGATATTCTTAGACAATTACGTACGAAAAGTAACGAAAGAAAGAACATGTCAAGTTTCTTTTGCGTTCATTTTCTTTTATACTCATTTAAAAATGCATACTCGTCATTTCATATTTATTTCTGTATTGTTTATTATTTGTTTAATAATGGTTGCGAGTTCGCGCCTGATTAGCCTAGTTGACTAGCCACATAGAGTTTTCCATGTTATCTTCAGTGTCTAACACCTAAATAGGGGCCAGTTTCGCATAAAAAGTTACTTTAGAATTTCCTCCAGAGAATTTCTTGTACAAATTTTTACAAATCATTTTCTGGAGAAAAAGCAGTTGAGATTTTAAAAAAATAATCTTTATTTATATACAAGTTTTTTTTTGTCATTATTAAAATTAAGCTGATCTCATGTGTTATTGGAAAAAAATAATTTATTTGATGCAATCCATCTATTATGTCATTTCTGTTTTTAATAGTTCAAATACAAAATACAATGAGCACAAGTAAATTACACATTTTGATTGTCAAGATTAGAGTTTTATTTTTGTAATAATCTTATTTTTTCATATTGAATCTATTTTTAAAGTATCTAAACTCTCCGTATCGTTCTTTTGTTTGAAAATTTGCATAAGATAAACTATAAATTTGCTTCGTGTATTGAAAGAGATTCATAAGGTACGTGTTCTCAACTTATATAATTAATTTTCCGCGCCTGTGGGAGTCCATGTTTGATTCTTTCCGTCTTCTGTCGAATCATCTAAGAAAATACCGTATATATGTTAATTTTTAGATAGAATCGATTGGAATTTTTTTTACTCTTTCCGCCCTGTGTGTACTATTAATTTAATAAGTGGTCCTTTTTTCAAACCCATCGTGAATTCGACCAAATCTACAATGGTTTCGATGGGAGGGCCTAATGTTGAAAAACGTGGCCCGAAAAATTTGGAATCCTGAAAAGATTACTGGAGTTTTTCTGAAAAAAATGAATTTGGTTTTTTAAAATATTATTTCATTATTTATTTTTATTACGCAAAAAAGTCGATTTAATATATTATTTAAAATGAGTAATGCATTTAATGTATGATTAAAATTATATATATAAATTAGATATAATTTGCTGACAGTTGAGTTAATAATTTTATCTATAATAAAATTAAAAGATTTAGTAAAATAATTGGTTAAAGAGACACAGATAATGAAAAATATAATGTGTTATAACAACATTAAGTTAAGAAAATCTTTAATAAGCAATTAACGAAGGGAATTTTTTATTAAAATGAACCTCTAACATGTCATAAGTATGCTGATTAATGTTTTTAAAATTAATTTAAAGTGCTTTGCTACAACCGAAACCTTGACATAATTTAAAACTTAACACAGTTTTTTTAGAAATTATAATTATATAGAAGAGTAATTACTGTAAGTCACTTATTTATTCTTTTGCAATACACCATAATTTTGTAGTTATAGTTAAAGTACCCAAAAGTTTATCTATCTATCTATCCAGTGGCATCCTCTCTACAGAGGGTTGCATTTGATGAACTATTCCTCTCCATGTTTCTCTATTCCAAGCTTCTCTTAAATCCTTTCCAGTCCAGTCTTTGATGTTATCTCTCCAAGTCTTTCGGGGTCTTCCTCTAGGTCTTGTCCCCTCCACCAGTCCCTCAATCACCGTCTTTAGTAGTTGTCCTCCTGATCCTCTAGCCAAATGCCCAGCATATCGTACCTTTCTTTGTTGGATATTTATAAGCAACCTTCTCCTCAAGCCCAGCCTGTCCAAAACTTCCTCATTTGTTATTTTCTCCGTCCAACTTATTCTTTGCATCTTTCTCAAGCACCACAAAAGTTTATATGAAAATCTAAATTTACAAACATTTATAAAGTCTTGATATCGAAAATGCCAATAAAACTTTATTATCGCTTCTAATTTACATTTGATTTCGAGAAAATAACCAAAAATTCGTTGAAATAAATCTGAACTGCTCCCAAGATTCTGCAATAAATCTATTTTTCGTTTATATTCGACGAAAATAATTGATATATTCAATACAGATTATTTATTGTGATATCTATTGAATTGCACTAAAGAGTTTTTGGATATAAACTCATATCTATATTAAGACATTTTTAAAAATTTTAAATCACTGTAAATCTCGATTTTATTTTAAATTGGCCAAAAGAATAATTATCAATCATTGTGTACATACATGTATAAGAAATTGTTTTGGTGTTTGAATTGAATACGTTACCTGAAATGTTTGCATAATGTAATGCCGGTTACAGTTTTACACATTTTACAAAATTGAATGGGTTAGTAAAGAATAGAAAACGACATTTTGGTATGACGTATCCATAAAATTCATCAGAATCCGAAAATAATTCGGACCAGTATTCCTTTATGAAGACAGAGGAAAACATACAGCAAATACAGGATGATCGTAAATTAAACTATCCCTATTCAACACCATCTACAGACATTTAGAATTAATTCTTAGCACTGTGGAGTGAAGAATCCCAGGAACTTTTCGTGAGCACTCTCAGAGTTCGATTAAAAATCTCAACGGAAAGAGATCACTAGAAAACTTGTCCCAGACAGTACTTACAACATTTTAAAACGAATATTTTGAATGATGATAAGGAGGAAGCTGTTATCATTCATCAAACTTCAGAGAAAGAGAGCATTATGGAGATCATTTTAGGAAGAAACTGTATTCAAAGGTTGTTCCTTTCAGAAATCTTCGAAACTAGATTTTGATTTCTCAATGATATTTATAAGATTTTGCATATACTAATTTTAAAAATATCTCATAATTTACTTGTTTTCTCCCTCTTTTTCTGCTTATTTGAATGTAAATTTCTTTAATTATTAATTTTTTAAAAGAAATATTAATATTTATAAAATAATTTATTCAAATTTCTAGGACAAGAATGGAGAAAGAAAAGAATTGTTCAGTAGAGGAAGAAAATTGCGAAGAAGAAATACCCAATCGAGGACATTGGGGAGGAAGATTCGATTTTATTTTAGCTTGTTTAGGAACTGCAGTGGGTTTAGGAAATGTCTGGCGATTTCCTTATTTAACGTATAAAAACGGAGGCGGTAAGTCGGAACCACGCTCAACCTTGAATATATTTTTAAAATGATAATTACAATTACATAATTAATCGATTTTAGGTAACTTACGAATTTTTTTTAGGTGCTTTCGTCGTGCCTTACATCATCATGGTCTTTGTCATAGGTTTACCCGTCTTTTTGGTCGAACTGACCCTCGGTCAATATAGTGCATTTGGACCACTTAAACTTTTTCAAAATATTTCGCCGTTATTTAAAGGTCAGAGGTTTAAATTCAATTTATTATTATTATTTATAAATAAAGAAATTCGGTTAAATGACCGAGGCGGTTTAAGGCAGCAGCCTACCGCTCTGATATATCGAATGAGGGCAGCAACCCCAAGAATTTTTTAAGGGCTAAGCCGGATACGTGGGACCTTGTCCTTCATCACTCGGTCGTCTCGTTGTGACCCTGGTCAAACTCACAATGAGTCTGAAAAAAGGCTCTTTTAGTGCCCGCAGGACAGAAAGAGTAAAATGGAAACAATACAAAAATTCAGCGAAAATAATTATTTGAGACAAACTAAAACAAAAATATATATATTTAATGTTACTTCGAATGAGATTTGTCTGATATTGTTGTATGAGATATAGTAGAAAATACAGTAATTAGACTTGCAATAAGGATTCCTTTTGGCAGAAATGTTAAATACAAATACTGAAACACTATAGATAACATGTATCAGTCTGAAATTTGCTTCATCCCAGTGAGATGAAATGGAGATGAACTGCCTATAAAAATTACGATGAGTTCACAAGAATTCTTTATTGCAAGATTGTTTTTTCGAAATTAAAAACTTATTCATTTTTCCTATTGTGAAACTATTTCTTTACATAACAACGACTAATGATAGAACTACAAATGCGCTTTATTTCCTGAAATATTATTATATATAGCAGCATTTGTTTAACAAATACGTATCTCGAGCTATTGTCTTTGCCCTTCCTCAATTGCTTATTGTTATTCTGCCTTTGAATTTGTTTTACAATTTTTCCCTCGTATTTATTGATATTTTAAAAACTAACATTAAAATTTTTTAATAGCATTCTCATAAAGTTTTCAAATTATCTGTTCTGCTTAGGGGAGACCGGGGCAACTTCGGCATGCGGGGCAAGTTTGTCAAGCGTCTTTTTTTAAAAACAAATTAAAAGGAGACTTTGGTTATAGGTTAGGCAGTTGAGTTTTATTGGTGGCTTGTTGAGTGTAGTGTTTTTATTGTTCTCCAACAAGCGTAGTTGAATTATCAAGCAAATTTTCATTTTCGTTCAATTCCATATAATATTTTTTTTCCATTTATATTGAATTGGCAGGTTTTGTTATAATTCCATGATAACAAAAGTTACTTTT